TTTTGCGTTGAAGGTGAGACGGCAGTAAACACGTGAATGTAGTATTGAAATTAACGGCTCCAAGTGGTAGGTGCCTACTCACCCATCGCCTGAGGACGGAAACAGATCCTGTTTCCGAAACGGTATGAATTTTTAATAATATTAGGGAACAGAGTCCAGAAAGTGAGTAATCCCGAAATAAAACCATCCTTCTAACTGGCTACGTGTTGAGATATATAGAGAGTTTTAGCCATACGTTTAAAGATTTCTAAGGGTTTTGAAACGAATTATTACAAAATTCAGTATTGTTAGGGTAGCGAAACCAAGGTTACAATGGGCAGGACATGTAGCTCGTAGGGGAAGCAGAGAAATGCGCACAAAATTTCCGTGATGACACCTCCGAGGAAGTTACTGTATGGAGGAGGCAGGAAGGTTATGTAAACTGATTGTCAGGACAGAACGACGAACGTGATAAAGCGCCGTCCGACTGTAGGGACACGTCGACACGTGTTTGCAGAACCTAAAGGTCATTCGTAACCTGATGCATGCTATGACGTAATTGGAGTGAACCACGTCAGGTTTTTGTTTGTATTTAGCTGGCAAAGTGGCCGAGCTCCGAACACATATCTGCCAGCCTCGCTACACACGACGAAGCAATGAATGGAAAATCCGAAGTTCAGATTATGTAACGTCAAGTGAAGCCCTCCAAACGTCATCAATATCGACAGCGACTCTGAAAAACAAGAGCACGTGTAGACGCCTGACTTACTAGTTGTGGCACCCTTCTTTTCTTCCTTCGACGGAAAGGTACAGAAGGAGGAGAAGGAGGACGACGACGACGACAACGGTGACGAGGTGGAGGAGGACGACGACGACGACGACGAGGACGAGGTGGAGGAGGAGGGCGAGGAGGATAAGGAGGACGAGAAGGAGGAGAAGGAGGAGGCGAAGAAGAAACAAGAGGAGGAAGAGGAGGGCGAGAAGAAGGAGGAGGACGAGAAGGAGGAGGAGGAGGGCGAGGAGGATAAGGAGGAGGACGAGAAGGAGAAGGAGGACGAGTAGGAGAAGGAGGAGGACGAGAAGGAGAAGGAGCAGGACGAGAAGGAGAAAAAGGACGAGAAGGAGAAAAAGGAGGAGGAGGAGGAGGAGAAGAAGAAGAAGAAGAAGACGAAGCCGGGAAATGCTATACAACATGTTTTCTTTCCCGACGTCTCTGCAACGCTACAAAATCCACTCCACGAACCGGATTCCATCCTATTAAAACTGGTTATATTGATTTTATAAGTATCACGTGTCTTATTAAAGATGCATTCATCTGTTTCAGAAGTAATAACATTGCACCTGCAGCGGCTCGCTCGCTCTCCAGCTAGAGACTGTTTTCCTTCTAGAGATTAACTGTCGCTAGGTAATACAGATATATGTACAGAAAAGTGGACATACGTGTACCTCTGCAGATAACGCGGCTATGCCGAAACAAGGCCACACTTCTGTGACTTACTTAACGACACTGTCAGTAAGTTTGTCCATACAGCGTCGGAGGAACGGGCCGCAGAGAATAGCAGTGATGAACTGTGTAGGATGTGGAAGAAAGTGGCGGTAGTCCCATTTAAGGCACTAGCGTAGAATTTGCATGAGTAAAGCTACGAAAGTCATCGGATAGGACAGTCGATGTCCCGGGTGAGATTCGAGCCGGGTACCTCCCGAATACAAGTCAGAAGCTTTATCGCAGAGCGAAATTTCTGGGTATGATACCTCGAAACAGGAAAATATAGAGATATGGTGTTGTAGTACATGCCAGATTTTGCGAGGCTACATTCATTTTGGTTCTTGATGGACAAGCCTAATCCTTTAGTTTTTTAAATTTAACCCAAGCATCCTTTATATGCTTACAGTTTATATATATATACATACACGCACGCGCATTCAAAGAAATAAGTTCAGCTTATCGGTGATTCGGGCATAATATGAAATGCATGTCTAAGACTGGCTCTGTATCTGCAATGTATCTGTAATAAGACGGGCTCTGTATCTGCAATGTATCTGCATGAAAACGAACATCACGGCCAATGTGGAACGCAAATTCACAAAGGAGGAGTTGGAGAGTATGTGTACTCCACATTCGTGTTCTGGAATAGTCCTTGCATTCATCTTCCTGCACTTTATAGACGAACGTCTAGGAGAAAATTGACACCGCTCTTTTTTCACCAGTTAGTTAGTTATTTATTAGCGGCCTCCGTAGTTTAGAGGTAACGTTCCCACCTCATGACTCGTGGTACGCGGGTTCAAACCCGGCGGTCGTGGAATTTTTAAGGGCGGAAAAATTCAGGGAACAAGTCCTCCGGGAGGGACTTTAAGCCGTGGGTCCCGTGTCGTAGCTTTACGGCACGTAAAAGAACCTCATATATCCAAAGGAGGTCACTGAGCCAAATTCAAGGACATTTCCCGCCCAACAGTAGTCTCTAACGCCTCTGATAAATGGGGGAAGCATTACAGATAGCGCCAAGCCAGTAGAGACCGAACTCGCTCGCTCGGTCGGGACTGATGGTGCGCACCAATATCGGTAGGGTATAGAGAGTGGTAGAATATCATAGAGGGAAGCACAATGGACCAATACTGGTCTAAGTGCATGGGGAAACCCACCCTCTCCAATAACTAACTAACTAGTTATTTATTCGATTGTATATACCGTTTTCGGAGTTTCATTCGAAAAACTGACATATGGAGCACACTAGGAAGTCCGGCGAGCTCTGAGGGGACCACTGACTGAAATGCTTTGCGCATATTTTCAATCTCGTGCTCCTGATCATTTAAATGACGTCTGATGGGCTCTGAAGGTTTCCGCCAGCTCTCAGCTCCACACCCACTTACATGTATAGACTGCAGAAAATGAAGCAGGAAACTGCTGAAGGACGAAGCTATGATATGTTTACTCGCTTATCAGCTGAGCTGGTTGACGCGGTTCATTCTTATTGTGATCCGTCCTGCCTACAGGTAGTTTCTATTCGTACGCCTCATTGGCCGAGGGCACACTAAGGAAACTGGCAACCGCAAAGCAAACGTGATTTCCGAGGATTGTTATTAGCCTGACTTGAACACAGGTTACAGCGCAAATTGAAGAAACGGCAACGCAACTAGCGCAATGACTGAGAAACTCAACTTCCAGACAACGGAGCACGCCAGTCTTCTCATAATTGCGTTGCCGCGGGGTTTCCCAGTGTCAGCTGTTCTATAACGAGCACGAATGGCTGACGAAGCTGCTAATTTTGTTTTTGTGCAGTTAATTGAGCAAGAGCCTGGTATATATGACAAACGCCACCCATTCTTATGTTAGGTACGACAATATACGTATATCTGGCTTGGGAAAGAATTGCTCATGAGACGACGGAGTCTGGAGCGAGGTTAAGTTCTTTCGAAACAATTTATACAGAGTTATACTATAAAGGAAACAGACACTTTAAACGTGTTATAGAAACCAAAGTATTACTTCTCTCTCTCTCTCTCGCTCCCACTCTGCAGCTTAGGGCTGATTTCTCAGTTTCGTGATCATTTTACAGGCGGTAGGACTCCTTGGGCGGGTGATCAGCTCGCCGCAAGACCTCTACCTAAACACAGGACAACATAAACACAGAAACACGCATACACACACCAAACATCCATGCCTTGTGTGGGATTCGAACCCACGATCCCAGCTTCCGAGCTTGAGAAGACAGTACATGCCTCAGACCGCTCGGCTACCGTGACCGGCATTAGTATTGATTCGTATAATACAGGTAAGGTCTTTTTCCCTGTGTTTAACTGACATAGCACAAGGCCATAAATACGTATGGGGAGTGGAGGTATAGCTCCATCATTCTTTACCTCTGCACTAGATGGAGGTGAGTGGTCAGCTTTACGTCCCGGTCGCTTTACTCCCGGGAAAACTGTTCTCGGTACCCACTGAACAGGAGGCTGGGGGCGCCCTGCAGCCGGTCTGGAAGCTGTGGAGAAGAGAGAAATCTTGCCCATGCGCAGAATCGAACTCTGGGCCGTCCAGCTCATAACCCATCGCTATACCGACTGTGCACGTATTGATGGGTATAATATATTGCAGGAGATAAGTGTCGATAAGTTCTGGACAGCGTCGTCTTAATCTCAGTCCACGAATATGTAAATTGCTGCTGAGGCTGTGAAAAAAGTAGTCTTCTGGGATCTGGCGCCGCGTATTCTTGGTTTTAACCGACGTTTCAGAGGAACATATCGCCTCCATCTTCAGGGTAGTTGACTTGCGTGCGAATACAGATAGCTACAGCTACAACTATCTGTATTCGCACGCAACTCAACTACCCTGAACATGGAGGCGATATGTTCCTCCGAAACGTCGGTTAAAACCAAGAAAATACGGCGCCAGATCCCAGAAGACGACTTTATTCATAGTTATCGCCGTGAAAACCTCAAAACTTACATACTGCTGAGGCTGTTTATATTCGTCTTATATATATATACGCTACACGTGTTGCTATTCAGAGGCTGCGAATGAAACAATGTGATTATTAAATAATTGGGAAGTTCCAAACATTGGTTTTCATAGCTCACTTTAAAAAGTTGGAATTTCCTTTGATGTTTGCTAATTAGAACATTCAAGTGACCATAGATGTCTGCCATGAAGGTCAGATCACATACCTAACGCCTTTTTCTTGGATGGGGTCAGGCCGAATTCACTTGGTATGTCGGAAACTAATTGGCCTATTGTACCAGCCCCAGATGACAGATGATGAGTGTGGAGCAGTCGCTGAAATGAGAATTGGCAAGGGAAACCGAAGTACTCGGAGAAAACCTGCCCCAGTGCCACTTTGTCCACCACAAATCCCATATGAACCAATGCCGCGGAGGTGGGAAGCCAGCGACCAACCGCCTGAGCTATGGCACGACTCTAGATCACATACCTAACTTGCATTTTCAGAATTGCTGACTGGCGGTCCTTTTTTCAATATGGAAAACTATGATCCCTTCTAACAGTGACAGAAAAAGTTGGCGATCCTTACCTTCGCTTAATGAAAGAATTTGTGGGCAGTGCCCAATGCCACCGCACTCAACTCTCTGTTTCACCAAAGAACGTCTTCAGTTGTCCTGTGGCTCGTCTCACGTCAACCAATGAGATTAACTGCACTGACATCATGCACAGTTTGGTTAAAACCCTGAGTTTTACCAGTTACACATGTTGACAGATACTGCAATTACACCGTAATGATTCATTGTGGAGAGCCGGTTCCTACACGTGATCGTAAAGCAGACACACAGTCCCTTCTACAGATACTCGCAGAAGATTATACGGGCTCAAGTTAAACACTACACAGTAATGCCCGAATGAACTCCGACCCCTTTGTCTGGTCTGGCACTGCATGAAAATCGTAAGTTCTTCAAACAGTGCGCGATCAGTGTTACACAACGTGCGAAGCAGTGTCCGGCAACTCATAAATAATCAGTGAATACTTCTGGGAACTAATAACCGTGGCCGTGTTTGCAATTGACAACGGAAAACAAACAGGCTGAGTTATCTTGGCTGGAATGAATCAAAGTACATGTCTGCCTGCCTCCTTCCCCGCAAGACTTCCCCCCCCCCCACATATCTTCATAAATACAAACTGTAACTATAGTTAACATACTTGTCACTTCGTACTTGTGAGTCGTGTTCTGTCTTCCTATTAAGATAAATAAATAAATGTATGCACTCTCAGCACAACATTATATACTCTAATTATTTTATACAATTACTTAGATAGGTGATAGCGTAGTTGGTTGGGGCATTATGCTACAAGCCGAAAGGTCGCGGGTTCGAGTGCCGATCAGGTTTTTTTTTTAATTGACCTAATTCTTCCAGCTGCACTATGGCCCTGGGGTAGACTCAGCCTGTAACAGAAATGAGTACCAGGAATCTTCCTGGGAGGTAAAGATCGACCGGCCCGTAAGGCTGACAACCTCAGCCCCACCTGTGAGCTGATTGTCTAGAAAATGTGGGAGCCTCAGCTTCTCACAACACTATGGGCCTCCACGGCCTGTTACAGGGATTCCTTATTTGTTCCTATCCAAGCCCTACTACCATCCTGTCGGGGAGAAGACTGGCTCCGCTAACCCCTGGTGGCTCTGAGAGAAAGGCCCCTGTCTATTTAGCACGTGATCAAGAGGGCCTTTTACAAATTAACTCCTGATACTTGTTTCCAAAATAGTTCGGCTTAGCTCCAGCCTTCCTCCAGTAGGCAGATAATCTGCATGGCGCCTAAGGCCCAGGATACGAACTTTGGTTCTGGTGTCACGTGGTAGGCGCAGTGCAGGTCCTTCTGGTACTGTTAGTTCTATATGTGCTGTTCACTCCTTGGCTGCATTCATTGTTATAAAGCATTTTATTATAATAGTGAATTGGTTTTGAAAAGTTCTTTCCTCTGGGATATAATGCCGTGAAGTCCGTTGAAAGTTAGCTTACATTTCGGAGGAACATCTCGCTTCCATCTTCAGGGTCGGATGAAAGCCAAGCAAGGAACCATGGTGAAGCAGGTAACTCTCAAAATTCTACATGTATGGGTTTTGTTTTCTAAAATTCTTTCATTTTTTGTTAGTGGTGCTGCAGTGTTTATTAACTAATCTGTCCTATCTAGTCACACGCCTTGTGGAAGGGGGCGCAATATAGTGCCGACATTTAAACTGAGCAACACTGGGTATGTAACCGTGTTGACAGAACATTTGTTTTATTGGTTGGCCGCATAAACAACATTTGCGGGTTGTGTATTACTGCCAAAGCTGTCTAACCTTGCTGTTTGTTAGGTTTGTTAGCACAGGAATTTACAAGTATACATGGTCTGATATGCGTAATGTGTAGGTCTGTCAGTTGTGTCAACAATTGGTCTGTAGCTACCACATGTAAACATCAAGATTAATGAGCAATGTGACATTGTACAGAACGCATGTAGAATGTCAGCTTCAATTCAGTGATCAATTTTCTGAACATTATCCATCGTCCTAATGTTTACTTCAAACGCCATTTTGGAGAATGGACTTTCTCACCGACCTCAGACGAAGATCCAACTCTACTGGTTACGAATGATGAAGTTGGTCATTATCTTTGGACACCGTAAATAACACGAAATATGGATACGTACACCAAGCGAGACAGAACTCACCTGAGGGAGTTCAGAACTCAGCCACATACATGGGACACGGGACACGGGACACTGCGCCTGTAACCGTGCGAAGCCCGTAAAACTAGGGACAACCTTCAAATTGAAAGTGAACTCGATGAGTCAAGTTCAGAAAAGTACAACTAAACATGTTATAACACATAGTAATCAATTTCTGGAGATAATGCTTTGATAAGATGACAATAGTACACACCTGAATCAAACAATTGCAGGGGATTCAATTCAAGCAAATAAAATTCCCTACATGCAATTAGAAGCTTATAATAGTTAAGCCAATAACCTGTAACTGTAAAATAAAAACATACGTGTACGAATTATACATACATAGATTTGTCCTGTGGACCCCAGAGTTGGGACATTCCCTTGGAAGAAGCTGGAACTCGCCAATTTCCTCTTTGATGATAGGAATCCAGATGGAAACGCAATGAAAACCGCTTAAATGTTACGAATATTTTTAAAACTAAACATAAACTCCGTGGGACACAGATGAAAACTGGGCCTGTTAGAGATGCCCAGCAGAGGAGCTAATATGTGCATAGCATTCTCTGTGAATGTGGCAGTTACATCGGAGAAACAGGCAGACCTTTTGGAGCATTCGTAACAGAACATGGGTACAATCTGACGCCAGCTCTGACGGAAGAGCTGACTTGTTTTAGAGACTCAAACCCAACAATACCAATAGGAAACACAAGGAACCAGCCCGTATGTCCCTTGTGGCTCATCTGTGGTCATCCAGCCTAGCATGGCTCTCTTTCCTATCTGGACTTCTGTCATTAAAGGAGTCAGCTTGTTTCAGTTCATGACCACAGTCATCCCCCCACATTAATCGAAATTAATTTGTTCCACGAAACGACGTCAATTAGTGATTCGTTGGATAAGGAACCCAACATCAATTCTGATGGTGGTGGTAGAGGAAATCTCTGAAACACAGCTGATCGCCCGAGAAGATTTTCATATAAACAGAATATTGTAAGTAGCAAAAGACATTACAAACTGCAAACAATGATACAGACAATTTTACTTAGAAATTCAAAATTAATGGAAGGACGAATATATTTTTAGTGAGGCTGCAACAATGCAACATACTATAACAATGATACAAACAATTTTAAGTAGATATAAAAAGTATTAGAACAACACACACATATGTAAAAAGGTAAAGCTATCCTCGTAAGATGCCGTGGCGGCCCATAGGGTTCTGATTCGTCGAGGCTTCCACATTCTCTAGACAATCGGCTCACAGATGGCGGTGAGGTTGTCAGCCTTACGCGCCGGCTGCCCTTTATCACCCAGGAAGATTCCTGGTACTCATTTCTATTAGAGGCAAAGTCGACCCCAGGGCCATAGTGAGGCTTGAAGGATTAGGTCAATTGAAAAATCCAATCACCACATCGGGAATCGAACCCGTGACCCCCGGCTTGTACCATAGTGTTATATACATATATACTATGAAGAACTAATAATTTGTTAGATAAAGGCTAGGTAAACACTCCCTAAAATCCGGCATTTTTTATTGTTAGTGGGGTGGGGCTAAGTCCCTTGTACTGCGGCCACTTCTGGCCTATTGTACCAGCCCTAAATGATAGGTGAGGGTGATTGTGGAGCAATTGGTGGAATGAAGATTGGCAGGGGAAACCGAAGTATTCGGAGAAAACCTGCCCCAACGCCACTTTGTCCACCACAAATCCCACTTGACCAGACGCGGGATCGAACCCGGGCCGCCGCGGTGGGAAGCCAGCGACTAACCGCTTGAGCTATGGCGCGGCCTTACAAGCCGGCATAATAGCAAAAGTGAATATGATCATTGCTAGACAATAGATTGTTAAAACGGGTTTCGCGGCAACGAACACGCTTGGAGGAACCAAAGCTTTGCCCCGAATTAATTAATACATAGATTCCGAGGTAACGCGTTCGGAAAACACAGCAATGGAACCCTTGAAGGAGGTGATCCCTATTAGGTCCTCATTTATAGAAGGCAGTGCATTCGTCAGTATTGGAAGATTCAATAGTTGAAGTGTTAACTAGATGAGTTTCGTTACCAAGAAACGACTAAGCACGCAGACGCTGAAGACTTTATTTTATGTGTCATAAATGCAGTAATCTTTAGAGTGGTATAATTAATTGTAGTTACGACGTCCTATAGTTAGAGTAATCTTTAGAGTGGTATAATTACTTGTAGTTACGACTTATGAGTCCACTAAGTCTAGTCATCTAATCCTGAACCCATTATTATTCGTCACGCCAAACACCTCATACGTGACAATACTCAGTTGCATATTTCTTTGATTTTAGCGCTGTGCAAGCAGCACATGTCCCATCAGACAGTCTGTTTCTCACGTCTCATTTTACAAGGTCGGCAGGGAAAAACAATGGCTCATTAATGTTTAAGCGAGCGCACAGGTATATACAGCATAACATTTTTACTAATTCTAATGCGACAGCGATGTTATGTGCCTGGCATCAATTGCCCTTTCTGTATTCCTTCAGTGCCTCTTTGACAGTCGTCTGGGGTAGGTGTCACCAGGAAACGCGACTGGAGGAAAGATTCCAAAGGGTTCTGACGACGGTGGATGACACAAAGAATTACCGGGGTTTTTGACTTTTTCCATCGTCCGGAATTTTAGGTAATAGAGGACACGGCGTTTCGGAAACTGGACCTGTCTCCGTCTTCAGGTGAGAAAGGAAGACACCTACTCACCTGAAGACGGAAACAGATCGAGTTTCCGAAACGTCCTGTCCTTTATTACCTAAAATTCCGTACGATGGAAAAAATCCAAAACCCCGGTAATTCTGTGTGGAGGAAAGGTGGCGTTTGGCGTACTGAATACTCCGCGCGTCCAGCCACGGAAGTAAACAGACATTGTATATTTCGGTTCTCTGATTTGAATTTAGGCATTGCAAACAATTTTCACAATGTAAACAAGGAATAGTATGGTCAAATTGAATGAAATAAAGTGAAGGACTAAATTGTCATGCTTAAATTAGATACATAGTCCTATTATTTTCTTTATTGCTAGTGGGGTGGCACTAAGTCCCTTGCACTGCGGCAACTTCTGGCCTATGGTACCAGCCCCAGATGATAGGTGAGGGTGATTGTGGAGCAACTGGTGGAATGAAGATTGGAAGGGGAAACTGAAGTACTCGGAGAAAAACCTGTACCAGCGCCA